GGGGGGGGGCCTCCATGTCCTTGGTGGTGAACTCAGAAGTGGACCGGAAATACTTCTGGTCCACTTCCAGGTCCACTGGTAAGTGCATTGGGGGGCCCCCAGTGCCCCCCCCCAGCTCAGTGATCAGCTGCAGGGGGACCCAGGTTGCCCCCCCAGACCCAGGAGGCACCAGTCACTGAGCCAAGCGGGTGGGGGGGGGCCCAGCAGACCCAGAAGTGGACTGGAAATACTTCTGGTCCACTTCTTGGTCTGCTGCCAAGCATGCTGGGGAGCCCCCCACGCTTCTGTGGGACACTCCATGCACCCCAGTATTGCAGCACTCATGAGCCGCCTGCTATTTAGAGGTATGTAGAAAAAGCTTTTAAAGCCATCTCTATGTCCAAATCTCCAAATCTTTCTGGATCTCTCCAAATCGATTTGGAGGGCTCTGATTCGATTTGGAGAGATTAAAGGATCCTCTGATTTGATTTGGATTTGGAGATTCAGCCACCGAATCAGGCCGAATGAAATCAGGGACCCAAGCTTTGCACAGCCCTAATGTGTACCACATATATCCACAGCAAGGGGGAATGGCTAGATGCAGCTGCTTTTGGATTACTATGGAATTGCAAGCATCATTGATAAATATTGAATATAATAACTATAAAACCAAAGTCTAATGGAGTACATCAAAAAGTCAGATTAACAAGTGGAATGTAACAATAATGACACAATTATTGCATCTAGTTTCATCCAGTTTGGCAAAGACAGAACCACCACTTTTATATGTTATCAAGGTTTAATATGCAGGGAAAGATAATGGTTATACCTTTTAACATGAAACATTGTCTATTTTAGAATTACCCAGAATGGCTGTTTTGTCATTGAAAGATCTCCCATATTTTTATATATTGCAAACTGATGGTTGTCTATTTATTGTGCTGCATTATCTATTTACTGTGCTGTAGAGAAGAGAATTAATCCCCTTTGTACCCATTCCTCCCTTTGAAATGTTATTTTTAGAATGACCTGCTTACTACCTATCTGTTTGGAAATCTGTCAGATCCTCAGTGAGACATCATGCCCACCAACTTGCTTCTAGGAGAGCAATGAACAATGGAAAAAAAACCCGGAAGCTGAGTGCAAGTGACCTTTTTTCATGTATTTTTTTGTCCCTGCCTTTAGGCTACGAATAATTCTTTCTTTCTATGTGAACAAATGACACATGAGCACAAATGACACAGCTCGGAGCAATCCCAGCCAGGTCATGAGTGGTTACAGGGCTCTGGGAGTGGGGCTCATGGGGTTGGGGGACAGGTGTTTTTTTCCTTGATCCTTCCAGTTATGGGGCATGGGCAGAGGAAGGAGAGATGAATTGAGGCGGTAAACAGAAGACTGTGGCACTGGTGCCACCATCAAGGCTTTGGTTTCTATGACCACTGCCCGCTCTTCAGAAAGAGAGGCAGTGGTCTGTTGGGAAGAGATGACCTCCACCCCACTCCACTGGGGAAGCAGCTCTTCTCAGCCAGAATGGCTGACTTGCTTGACTGGGCTTTAAACTAAGCTTGCTGGGGAATGGGTGGAAAACCACTGGAGTAAGCTCACCAAGCATCAACCGCAAAACCAGCAGGTTAGGATGCTCAAGGGAACCCACTCCTACCCCAGCCCAGGAACAGAGATTCTCCATAAGCACAAGGAAGCCTAGGGCCTCCAATGGCACACTTACATGCCTGTACACTAATGCTAGGAGTTTGGGGAATAAACAGGAGGAGCTGGTCCTTCTGCTAAACAGAAATGGCTATGATCTCATAGGCATCATGGTGATCTAGTGGGACTCCTCTTATCACTGGACACCTGGTATAAATGGCTATACTCTGTATAGGAGAAAGCGTGCTGAAAAAAAGGTGCAGGGGTGTAGCTCTCTATGTGAAAGAGAGCTACACATCCCTACAAGCTGAGATTGGCACCCAAGGAAGACAACGGGAGACACTTTGGGTTAAAATATGAGAGGAATGTAGCGACGGGAATACAATGGTGGGAGTCTAGTACAGACCTCCAAACCAGGAATAAGTGTTTGACCAAGAATTTGCCAGGGAACTGACTGAGGCTGCACACTCTTGGTGCATGGTCATCATGGGAGACTTCAACTACCCAGACACCTCATGGGATGAGCACTTGACCAAATCTGATCAGTCACAAAGCTTCTTTGCATGCATGGATGAACTCTACCTGTCCCAAGAAGTTTATGGGCCAACAAGTGGCAAGGCGCTGCTGGACCTGGTACTGGCCAAAGGGGGTGATCTAATCAGCGACCTAAGAATTGAAGGGAAGCTGGGTGACAGTGACCAGGAGTTGATTACTTTTACTATCCACCACAGAGCTGGCAAGTCAGCCAGCAATGCAGCAGTCCTTGACTTTAGGAAAGCTGACTTTCATAAACTCAGAGGGCTTGTTCTTGAGGCCCTGAGAGGCCATGATTTGACAGGGAGGGGAGTTCATGCTGAGTGGGAGCTCTTTAAGGAAGCAATCCTAGAAGCACAAGGGGAGTCCATCCCCACCCATAGGAAAGGTGGTAAAAGGGCTCAACAACCCCCTTGGCTCAACAGGAAACTCATGGACCTCCTACATCTAAAAAGAGAGATTTATAAAGGATGGAAGACAGGAAACACCACTAAGGAAGAGTATACTGCACTGGTCCGCACTTGTAGGCACGAGTGACTGGTGCCTCCTGAATCTGGGAGGGCACCTGCAGAAGCTGCCAACAGTGGCGGCCTTGTCAGGGGGGGCACCAGCCCTACTGACAGCATCAGTGTCGGCTGTCAGGGGGGCACCAGCCCCGTCGGGGGGAGCCGTGTGCCACCATGCATCCCCTACTAGTCACCTATGCCTGCAGGGAAGGAACTAGAAAAGCCAAGGCTGCAACTGAACTCCATCTGGCTACACAAATCAAAGACAATAAAAAATCCTTCTTCAGATACATGGGGAGTCAAAAGAAAAACAAGAGCAACATTGGACCCCCTGCTAAACCAGCTGGAGCAGCCAGCTACCGACACCCAGGAAAAAGCCAATCTGCTTAATGATTACTTTGCGTTGTTTTTTCACCAGCCCAACGGGACCACCCTGCCTAACATGATGTGGGATGACCAGGGTGAAGATGAATATATGCCCACCATTGGCATGGATCTTGTAAGGGAGCATCTTGAGAGGCTGGACCCCCATAAATCATCTGGTTCAGATAAGTTGCACCTAAAAGTGCTAAAGGAACTGACCAACATCATAGCGCAGCCACTGGTGAGGATATTCGAGAACTTGTGGCACTCAGGCAAAGTACCTGAAGATTGGAAGGGGGCCATTGTGGTGCCCATCTTCAAGAAAGGGAGGAAATAAAACCTGGGAAACTAGAGGCCAATCAGTTTGACCTCAATCCCTGGGAAGATTTTGGAAAAAAATTATCAAAGAAACCATTCTTGACAGGCTAACAGAAGGCAACATTCTGAGGGATAGCCAGCACGGGTTTGTTGTGGGCAGGTCTTGCTTGACCAATCTTATTTCCTTCTATGACCAGGTGACATATCACCTGGACAAGAGGGAAGAGGTTGATGTCATATATTTGGACTTTAAAAAAGCCTTTGACCTGGTGTCCTATCATGTCCTCATGGAAAAATTGGGCAACTGCGGCCTCGACTACTCCATAGTCTGATAGCTGGAGAATAGGCTCCAAGGTCAAACCCAGAGAGCTGTAGTTGATGGAACAAAATCAACATTGCACTCAGTGACTAGTGATGTCCCCCAAGGACCTGTTCTTGAACCTGTACTCTTTAATATCTTCATAAATGATCTGGACACTAGTGTCTAAAGTGGACTGGCCAGGTTCACTGATGACACCAAACTTTGGGAATGAGTCTCCACGCTTGAGGATAGGCTGGTGATCCAGGCCGATCTCGATAGGTTTGCAAGGTGGGTGGATAAAAATCTGATGGCATTCAATATGGACCAATGCAATGTGCTCCACCTCGGGAATAAAAATCTGCATCACACTTATAGGCTCGGCAATGCTACACTTGCTAGCACCATGACCAAAAGAGACTTGTGGATCACAATTGACCACAAGATGAATATGAGGTACCAATTGGACATCACAGCTGGCAAAGTGAACAAAACTCTAGTTTGCATCTACCTATGCATCTTGAGCAAGACCTAGGATGTCATTCTCCCGCCATACTTGGCTTTGGTGAGGCTGCAGCTGGAGTACTGCATCCATTTCTGGGCTTCACAATTTAGGAAGGACATGGAGAAGCTTGAAAGAGTCCAAAGGAGATCCACGCGCATGATCAGAGGGCAGGAAATAGGCCTTATGAAGAGAG